ATGTTAGATTCTTGTATTGGAGAGATGAAAAGCAAGAATGGTTTGAAGAGATGCGAGGTTGGAGAAATGAGGAACGAGGAAGCCGCGGAGCCATGAGATTCATTGCCTGCGGCGACAAAAATCTCTCGGAATTTCGGGTTTTTCCTATCCAGATTTTACCATCTCTAACCACATCAACCAAATTTGAGTGTGACAAATGGAAAGAGAAACAAATTAAACGACTTGAAAATAGATAATTTGATTTATGAATATTAATAATTTAATGGTTAAATTAAAGAAGAAAAGGGTTGATGTGAGTCATTATATTAAATGCCAAAAATATTATTTCGATTAATATTTTTGAGAAAATTGAATTGAATTATTATTATGAGGTAAGATTTAAATTTAAAAATGTGTTTGATAAGATTATTTTTTAATCCCTAAATTTGTTAATTTAGTTATATACTCCCTACAATAAATTTTTTAAAATTAATAAAAACACCCTCATCCACCCATTAAATGTCGGCAACCGGTGGTTGGCTACTGGAAATATGTGGACAGGTGAGGTGTTTTTGTCAATTTATAAATTTTTATTGTTAGGGGTATTTAGTTAAATTAACAAACCTATGGAATTTAAAAATAGCTGAATAAAATAGAATTAAATTTTCAGAATAGAAAACAAATATATATTTTAGGTAGGATAGAGGTAAGATAAGATAGAAATAATGCCCCAAACACAGCCCATACTATCTTATGAACAACTCAACAGGATAATGATTTCCAATGTGGGCTCCTTTTTTAGCAATCCCAATTCTTACTGGATCTGCCCAATTTTGACCCAAGTCTTAATAGGCATCATATATGTGAAAAAATAAAATCAGTCTCCATTAATATAACAACAATATTGTATTCACAAAGCTGATATTTCAATTAATTGACACTGAATTTTATAATATCACCTTAATTATAAAATAAAAATGATAGATAAGTGCTATAAATTATCAAATTAACTATCACATTACTTGAAATATGACCTTCGAATTCAAATTTTATATGTTATTTTATATGTATAGCATTATTGTAAAACTAACCGGGGCAATTTGTAATTAGGCTTTTTTTTTTCTTTTTCGATAGAGAAGTGGTTTACGTCGAATATTGGACTATCTGAAAGTCTTGTCCTCCATGATAAAATTTCTCTTCAAATTGATGCTGAGAGGAATTTATTTCTTAATTATGACAGGTTTTGGACCCACCAATTGAAAACTAAATGAGGAAACAATTTCGGATGGTTATAAAGAGCAGACGACATATTCCCACCTAAGAGTTTGGCGAAATGGCAAATTTTCACGGTTGGTTTCGTAAATTTTAGATTCCCACATTTGAATTAATAAAAAATTGTTTAAATCTGTAATGAACCTCACTCATGTGCAACTGCCGTCTCAGGCCAATTTGGCTTGATTCTGGCATTGTTAGGCACTGATGCACACTGCTAGGCTTTAAGGAAAGGCGTTGGCTGAATTGGTTTGAGCCTTTTGTCGAACCGGGAGGTGTGCCAATTCAAGAATTATGATCTTCAATGCCAGAATCGATTCAAAAACAAATTATTCACACCAAGCAAATATACATTCATAATGACAAATATCTAACTGAGATTTGATCTCACAATGAAAGAGGGTCCATTCAAAGTTAATGGTTTGTTTCAAACTTTGTTTTCACACTTAAAAATGTTACACCTACAAACTCTTCTTATAAACTTTCTCGCACAATACTAACGTGATAACTCACAATTGATTAGTTCGTAATAAATTTCATCTGAATTTTACCTGATAAATTATGACTGATCAATTATAAACTGTTATATCGAAGTTGTGAGAAAAAATTCGTGAAAAAGGGTTGTGGGTTAATCTTTCACACTAACAAAAGTAAATTCTATCTCTATACATATCATGTGGGAAAATGGTTACATTGATTAATAAACAAATGGTTGAAAGATTTGTTGATTTGACGGTGTAATAGCTACCTCTTAGTTTTGCTTGAATTGAATTAGGAGTCAAATGACAATAATCTCCCTAAAGTATAATTTAAAGAAGTAAAAGTAACACTTACCACAGGACAGGCCGAGAAAAAAAGGATAATTCTATATGTTAAAAGTCAATTGTTCACACCAAGCAAATATACATTCATAATGACAAATATCGAATTTAGATTCCATCTCAAATGAAAAGTTAATTCTTCCTTTCAAACTTTGTTTTCACACTACCAAAAATTAATCTTATCATCGAAAATACACACACATATATATATATATAAAATTTCTTTTCATACAAATTTAAGTTTTAATTCAATTTTTCTTTGCTTTTTCAACGTTTTGACTGAACTGTGTGGACCACCACCAACCCGCAAAGAAAAAAAAATTTGGATTATGAAATCCAACCACCACCTCTCCTTCTTTATCTTTTTGACTGACAGAGGTAAAAGAAAAACAAGGAAAGTGCAAAGAAACAACCACTCACTGGACACTGGCCCTAGTTCCCATATACACACTCAAGCATTGCAAAAAACCTGAGGGATGTCATTGTGAAAACTGTCCCATAGTTGGCTTCCCTAGTTTCTGTGTAGTTTCCAACTATATATGAATCAGCAGCAATATAATATTTATAAAATTATTTATGATAAAATGACAAAGGATTTATTATTATTTATGTCTTATGTTTTATCAGAGAATTGATAACCATATCATAAATATGAAGACCTCTTTTAGACCCCATTCTGATATGGTTAATTTTAACCCTTTGACAAGAGATATACAATCCACTTGACAAAGCCGGTTAAAATATGAAGAAGGAGTGATTGAAGGAGTAACAGTAACAATCACCACAAGACAAGAGAAATAAATAATAATTATTTATCTTAAAATTCAATTGTTCACACCAAGCAAATATACATTCATAATGACACATATCCAATGGGCGAACGACTTGTACATATTCAAAGTTTACTGTAATGACAAGTTGATACCCAAAAAGTTTTGAAACGACAAATAGGTACCTTCCGTCATATTCTGTTAGTGATTTTTGTTTATTAATAGTGAAAAGACTAAAATGCCCTTCAAAGTTTCAATTTTTGTTTTTTATAAATTTAAAAATTTCTAAAAAACCCCTAGGTTTGCTAATTTAATTAAACACCCCCATATATAAAATATTTGTTAAATGACAAAAACACCCCCACCACCCCCAATGCCAGATTCCGGCCACCATCGCCGGAATCTGGCCGGAAAACTGTATTACGACACAGATCCGTCGGATCTGTGTCGTAACGTGCCGATCTTTCCTTTTCCGGTCAGATCCGCCACGGATCTTGCCGGAAAAGGCAAGATCTGGCCGTCGAAGCAGCAGCCAGATCTGGCCTTTTCCGGCCAGATCCGTGGCTGATCTGGCCGGAAAAGGCCAGATCTACTGCCAGATCTGGCCTTCGACGCCGCAGATGGAGTTTTGCGGCGTCGACGGCCAGATCTAGCCGTAGATCTGGCCTTTTCCGGCCAGATCAGCCACGGATCTGGCCGGAAAAGGCCAGATCGACGCGTTACGACACAGATCCGACGGGTCTGTGTCGTAACGCAACTTTCCGGCCAGATTCCGGCGGTGGTGGCCGGAATCTGGCACTTGCCGGTGGGGGGTGTTTTTGTTATTTTATAAAACTTTTATATATTGGGGTATTTAGTGAAATTTGTAAACTTAGGGGGTTTTTTGAAATTTTTAAATTTATAAAAAACTAAAATTCAAACTTTTAAGGGCATTTTAGTCTTTTCACTATTAATAAACAGTAATAAACAGAAATCACTAACAGAACATGACGGAAAGTACCTATTTATCATTTCAAAACCTTTTGGGTACCAACTTGTCGTTACGATAAATCTTGGGTATGTATAAGTCGTTCTCCCCATATCCAATTGAGATTCGATCTCACAATGATAGAGGCTCCCATGCAAAGTTTATGCTTTATTTCAAACTTTGTTTTCACTTTTCACGTGGACATGTACAAAATTAAATACTTAAATCTTTTAACTTAGTTAATGATTTAAATTGAAATATAAATTTATGAGTCATGTCATGACCATGAATTTATTGCAATATGACAGATATGAGATGAAAGTTGGGGGAGATTATTTCATTGTCACATCATCAATTTTTTAAATATTAGATTGTGATAGATCAACGGCTCTAAATTTGTAAGAAAAAATTAAGTTAAAAGATTATGCCCCATATTTAAATATAGTATTATTTATTTTATTTATCTTTAACAATTACAGTATATTAAACTTATTAAGATCTTAGTTTTGTATTTTAACTGATATAACTGTAAAGTGTTAATTCAATTATTCTTTGCTTGCAGGTCAAGAAAAAGAAAAAACGTGCGGACCTGGACTACCACCAACGCGCAAGGAAAATTAAATCCTTTATAACTTTTTTGACTGACAAAGGCAAGGAAACTACAAAGAAACAGCCACTAAACAAAAGTTGTCGCAAATCTCGAAACGCCCTTCTTCTGTAACATACAACTTCCACGTGATCCAACTAAAACTCCTGCCTGGACCCCAACGCCGATCTTCTTACACGTGTCGTTTTTTCTATCGGTCGTATGCTGCACTACCATTGCAGCGTGTCTCTCTCGCCTTTTTCCACTTTCTTCTTTTTCATTTTCACTGTTACCTTAGAACTCTCTCCGCCTCGAATCAATCTCTCAAACTCGCGACCTTTATGTGATACCTATGAAGGAAAGACAGCTGTTTGATAGGTGGAGCGCGTATGTTGTTTGTAAATTAATCAAGCGAGTATGTTACAGAACTCATGCTGGACTGTTTAACTCTTTTGCCTTTATAGTTTCTTAGTCGCGTCGTATCCGCGTCGTTGGATACGATAAAAGCCACTTAGCCTTGGTGAGGAAATCCATCGTCTACAATATCCATAACTTATTACAAGCTCTTTAGTGATCACTACTACTACTACTACTTCTCTTTGCTCATCTGTCTTTGATCGTCTTTATACTGAAGGATTGATCTAATTTTATCGCTCAAAAACTTACATATTGATTTAATTAGGCTCGTTTGTAAGGAAAGAGATGGAAGCGATATCCATTGCATCTGATCCTCATCTTTATTTTCAAGTAAGTATTTATTTCCTCATCTCTACTTCTCCACAAAATTTTATCTCTCTGATGTCTCTGTAATTTATGCAGGTGGGAAAGATCAAAATCAATGAGGGAATGAAGTGTTTGCGAGATTTAGTAGAATGGTACAAGGTCAACTTGACCTCAGAAAGTGCTGGAGGGGTTCATGAAATCATGGCCTATCTTCAATTTCTTCAACGACAAGTAGTACAGGTAACCTTGCATACTAATGTTATATGGTTCGTCATTATTAATAACTGGATCTTCTTATCATCACAATGCGTTTCCTATTACAGAAACCAGCTTGTGAATTTTGGAAAGAAATATTGGGTCTTGTGGTTTTGGTTTTCTAATTCAAGTACACTTCTTTCGAATATTAGCATTTGGGTCCTTAGATTGAGCTAAAATTGTTGAAATCTGAAGAACAAAATGCCAGTATTTTACACAAGTGTTCTTACCTGTTATAGATCAAAATTCAAAACAATATTCCCCTTGTCATATCTATTAATCACGGGTTTTGAGTACAAGTGTACAACTCTGACCGAGGAAGCCGAGCTGTTCGCGAACGGCTCGGGATCGGCTCAAGAAAAGCTCGAGTTTAAGTTGCTCAAGTGCCTTTTCGAGCCGAGCCCGAGCCACCAAGTGCTCGGCTGGATAAGCTCCTGAGCCTTCATCGCTCGAAAGGGTATAAGTTTTTTAAATATAAGGTGAAAGTTTTTCAAGTATAAGGGTATATATGTAATTTATTATTTTATATATAAATTGTTTATTTCAAAAACCCTAGCACATTTTTTATCGCACTTCTTCTCCTTTCTTTTTTCCTTCCTTCTTCTTCTTCTTTAGCTCTTCTACCTCAAATCTACGGCATGACAAATCTTGTCTCGCTCTTCCTTCTCCAAGCCGCTTTTTCTTCTCCAAAAGTGAGGCTGTGAGATTTTGTGCTTATGCTTGCTCGGTTTTTGTTGCTTTTACATTATCATCAAGGTTTTGAAGAACCTGGTGGGTTGGCTTTGGATTTTTTTTTTCTTTTTTAAAGATTGTTGGTGGGTTGCCTTGATTAAAGTCTGTTAAAGAAAATTTCGGTATTGTTTTATATCCTAATCCATGTGCTACATACTAAATGACTTTATTATTTAAAATAATATATAATAATGTAAATTATTTTTACTGTGTTTACACTTACAATAGTGTATTTCCTTTTGTAAAATCTCATTTATAGTATTGAAAAAAAAAAATTAGAAAGGCACAAATTTAATAGAAGGGAATGAAATATGCTTCTCCATTTCTTTTATTTTTTCATTTTTAGAGTATTTCAGTGAGAAAAATATTTTATTATATTTTAACTAACACTTAAATAGAAAATAATTTAGAATATTCTATTGGGAAATGATTTTACTTTCAAGAATAGTTATGAATACGTATTCCAAAAAATAAGAGTAAATATTTAGTTGAATGATGTTAAATAGCCTTCTTTAAAAGTAATTTATTATATTTTTTAATTCAAGAAAATATTTAAATTACATCAATGAAGTGGTTAAGGGGATTTTATACTTATGGGACTTTAATTAGCTCATGAGAAAAAAGACTACTCTGTTTGTCCAATCCAAAATGACATAGTTTCTTTCTTTTTTTCCTTGAAAATATGTGAAGGAGATTGAATCTTTAGCACAACTGGGAGAAGTACCTGTATCTTCTGATATCAATGGAACAGATATGCAACGTGGACAGGTTCCTTTTCTCTCTCTTTATATTGAATGTATGAAAGAAATTAAAGTTAGATAAACCTTATGTAATTTGTTTAGTTTTAGTACAGTTATGTGTCTTACCATATACATGCCTCAATTAATAAAGAAAAACATATATCTAGTAATCCTTGGAATGCTTGGCCAATGTCTCCATCCTTGCTAGCAAACTATATAAGTTGACTTGGTTGCCTTTAATATGATTATTATAAATCTTATGTAATTTGTTTAGTTTTATTGCTTATTATAAGGTGATTGAGTTGCTTGTATATTACTAGGAAATCTCTCCAACAAGAGAACAAAATGCCTATGTTGGACCTACTCCAAATCAAGAGAACACTTCAAGTGCTAAAAAAAGAAAGCTGAAATCAAAGGTTTGGGACCACTTCACAAAGTATAAAAAAGATGATGGCGAGGAACGGGCTGAATGTAAACACTGTAAGAAAGACTTTGTAGGTTCAAGTAAGAGTGGAACCACACATCTCAACAATCATTTAAAAAGTTGCCGAGGTTTGAGAAATCCAATTGGAGTTGTAAATAGAGAAAAAGAGAAAAGTCTGATAGATCCAGAATCGAATGGTTCTGATTTGGTGCTAAAAATTATTAAGTATGGCCTAAACAGCATAAAGGGTGATATACTTAATGTTTACGAGCAAGAGAAGGATAAGCTTCGAGGGTGCCTCCATAAACTCTCATGTCGTTTTAATGTAACAATTCGGAAGATTGAATACTTATGGCTCCTAACAACCTCGTTTATCGATGATAGTTGGGAATTGAAAATGGTGTATTTTTGGTTGGATGGACGGGAAGATAACGATGAAATTGAACTTGAGGAAGATCAAATCTATGAAGTTGAACGTCTGAAGTTTTGCCTTGAGGATTGGAACATAGACAAAAAAGTATGCTCTATGGGAGGAGATTCAGTATTTACTCCTGAATGTGGGAAAATTATCGAGGATATTAACAGCTGGTTGAATGAACGAGCTTCATTTCCTGTCATTCGGAATTTTTTTTCAATTAGTTTTTTGCAATATGGATTAGGTATGGAGGTTAGGGAAAGTTATATTTCAGATAAAGCATGTAAGATTTACGATTACTGCAGGACGTCATCAAATGTAAATAAGTTTCAAGATGCGGCAGAAAAAGCTTTGTTTAAGGGCAAAACAGTAACTTCCTCAAATGTTCCTTCATATTGGTGGTTCGACCATGATTTTGAGTCGTTATGGGCATGTAATGACGGATTTATTATGCTTGAGTGGATTCTGGGATGTAAAGAAGCATTTAGTGAACTGAAGGATATAGATCCTGATTTCAAGTATATAAATTTTATAGAAAATGAGTGGGATGAGGTAACTTTGATATGCAACGTTTGGAAAGTGTTAAATGGTTTGAATAGTTACCTCGAATTTACAAATAAAACCGCAAATGTGTATTTCCCAGTTTTTAGTGACATTATGTTGAAATTGGTTGAGTTGGGAGAAAGGTATGATAATTACATTTTCGGCTTTGCATCAGAGTGGCGAGAACGATTGGAGGAATATTGGAACAATTCTAATTTGGTTTTAGTGATAGCAGTAATTTTGGATCCGCGGTTCAAAATGGATATTGTGAAACATTTTTACGAAAAGGTTTATGGTAACGATGCAAATGAATACCTTAAAATCATTGATGATGTCACAAATATTTACAATAAATATGCAGGGAGCACTGATAATAATATTGTTACATCAGAATCAGAACTGGACCGCTATTTGAAAGATTCTAAATGTCCTCCAGGTGAAGCATTTAATATATTAGATTGGTGGCGTGTCGAATCCCGAACCTATCCAACACTGGCTAAGATTGCACGTGATGTCTTACCAATACAGGTCGCTTCTCCTGAGCGTCCTTCATCGTTACGTAGAGTTTACGACGCTATTAATTATGCTAATCTTGAAGCTGACCTCCAACTAGCTTTGGTACATACAAATGTTTGGTTGAAGCTGACCTCCAACTAGCTTTGGTACATACAAATGTTTGGTTGAATTTCCCTGTAATAAAATAATCAAGTTGTTGAAATAAATATATGGTTTTTTTTTTTTTTTCCCATTTACTTTATTTTGTTGTTTAAAATTAAAACATTNCTTGGCCAATGTCTCCATCCTTGCTAGCAAACTATATAAGTTGACTTGGTTGCCTTTAATATGATTATTATAAATCTTATGTAATTTGTTTAGTTTTATTGCTTATTATAAGGTGATTGAGTTGCTTGTATATTACTAGGAAATCTCTCCAACAAGAGAACAAAATGCCTATGTTGGACCTACTCCAAATCAAGAGAACACCTCAAGTGCTAAAAAAAGAAAGCTGAAATCAAAGGTTTGGGACCACTTCACAAAGTATAAAAAAGATGATGGCGAGGAACGGGCTGAATGTAAACACTGTAAGAAAGACTTTGTAGGTTCAAGTAAGAGTGGAACCACACATCTCAACAATCATTTAAAAAGTTGCCGAGGTTTGAGAAATCCAGTTGGAGTTGTAAATAGAGAAAAAGAGAAAAGTCTGATAGATCCAGAATCGAATGGTTCTGATTTGGTGCTAAAAATTATTAAGTATGGCCTAAACAGCATAAAGGGTGATATACTTAATGTTTACGACCAAGAGAAGGATAAGCTTCTAGGGTATCTCCATAAACTCTCATGTCGTTTTAATGTAACAATTCAGAAGATTGATTACTTATGGTTCCTAATAATTTGGTTTATCGATGATAGTTGGGAATTGGAAATAGTGTATTTTTTGTTGGAAGGACGGGAAGATGTTCTCGAAATGTATCTTGAAGAAATTGTTGAGGAAGATCAAAACTTTCTAATTGAAGGTGTGAAGCTTTGCCTTGAGGATTGGAACATAGACAAAAAAGTATGCTCTATGGTAGGAGATTCAGTATTTATTGCTGAATGTGGGAAAGTTATCGAGGATATTAACAGCTGGTTGAATGAACGAGGTTCATTTCCTGTCATTCGGAATTTTTTGTTAATTATTTTGTCGCTATCTGGAACAGGTCAGGAGGTTGGGGAAAGTTATATGTCAGTTAAAGCATTTAAGATTTGGGATTACTGCAGGACGTCATCAAATGTAAATAAGTTTCAAGATGCGGCAGAAAAAGCTTTGTCCAAGGGCAAAACAGTAACTTCCTTAAGCGTTCCTTCATATAGGTGGTTCGGCCGGAATATGCTTGAGTGGGTACTGGGATGTAAAGAAGCATTTAGTGAACTGAACGATATAGATCCTGATTTCAAGTCTATAAATTTTATAGAAAAGGAGTGGAACGAGGCAACTTTGATATACTACATCGGTTGGAAAGTGTCAACTGATTTGAGAGGAGATTTTTGTAACTTGTATGATTCTACAATTAAAACCGCAAATGTGTATTTCCCAATTTTTAGTGACATTATGTTGAAATTGGTTCAGTTGGGAGAAAGTGATGATCATAACATTTTCAGCTTTGCATCAAAGGGGCGAGAAGAATTGGAGGAATATTGGAACAATTCTAATTTGATTTTAGTGATCACAGTAATTTTGGATCCGCGATTCAAAATGGATATTGTGAAACAGTTTTACGAAAAGATTTATGGTAACGATGCAAATGAATACCTTAAAAAAATCATTGATGATGTCACAAATATTTACAATAAATATGCAGGGAGCACTGATAATAATATTGTTACATCAGAATCAGAACTGGACCGCTATTTGAAAGATTCCAAATGTCCTCCAGGTGAAGCATTTAATATATTAGATTGGTGGCGTGTCGAATCCCG